GGGCCATGATCCCCATGGGCCCTGCCATATGCTTACCATATTAGGTAATACGTCATAATTGGTTTATCGGTATAATTAACCCCTAATTATTGATTAAGAGCAATACTTTGAGTATAGGCCGATCCTGGTGGCCGATTGGGTGTCGGCCACCAGATTCGACCATTCGGTAACCGATAGGATTTCGGCTATTTGGTGGCCGAACACCTTTACTTGTACAAATAGAAATATTGATTGTAGTAGTCCATGGTAATTAAGCGAAGAATCTTTTTTGATATAATCTTTAGCTGATACAATTTTTTTTACTAGGAAAGAAATGTTTATTAAGATTCTACTCAAGTGCGGCTTAACCATATATAAGACTTAAAACAAATTTTAAGAAATAAATTCTTCTCTAAATAAAAAAACATATATATTGAGTCTTCTTTAAGTATATAAAGACAACTTTTACAAATATATGAGACTATTTTAAAAATATATGTAACTTTTTACTTTATAAAAACTAATAACAAATAATTTAATTTTTTTTTAGTAAACTTAAAGTTTTAGTATCCTTATCCTTAGACCGGATTATACCAATATTAAGCACAAGGTGTGGAAGGAAAAGAAAAAAGAAAGTAGAAAACAAGTGATATATTTGAATTCCACCCAACTCATATGATACCCGGGGTATATTACATTGTGTCAAAAGTAATTAATACCAAAATAAATGACGAAAACATGAATAGCATGGAATTTCCCTTTCATCGGCTTTTGCAGAAGCTCAACATAAGACTTCATTTCACTCACTTCAAATTAGGCCGTTTCACGTTTAACTTGCTGACAAACACTCTCATGCCAAAACCCACACCCAATTTGTCTAGTGAAGATATATGAGATGGAAGGGTCTTTGTTGGATGAGTTAGCCAATCATCTGTCTCTTGGGTCCCATTTTGAAGACCTTGTCTAGTGAAGATAAATGAGATGGGACCCACATCTTGAGTCATTTAGCCAATCATACAGCTGTGATATTTCTTATGGGACCCATTTTAGATATTAAAAAATAACTTTACTAGACCATCTCATATGCACCTTTTTTTATCCTTTTTCAGTTTTAGGCCTTACAAGAGAGGCAGAGATTTCAACCACGAACGAGTGTCTATCATAGTTCATGGTCTAAAGCCGAAGCACGAGACCAAACAGTGCCATATTCTTATTATTCAGCTAAATTATATTTACACTGCCAAATTTTACTTGATTCTCTTGATTTATGTATTCTAATCTATAATTTATTACATGGCTAAATTAGAAGTATGAAGATACACAAGCAACAAGGCCAATACTCGGTACAACAATTAGAAAATGATCAGCATCAAGCACTAAATATCTCACCCTTAAATCATGTCAACAATCTAACCTAAAGTAGTACCACAAAAGTTAAAAGAAACATCTTGTCATACAATATTATTATGCATGATCCAAATAGATCATATCACGGCATAGCAAATGAGATGTCAAAAAAAATGCATTATTCCCCTTTTTAAGATAGTTAATTTAGACATAAAGAACAAAAATAACATTAGAGCAAATAACTAATTCATGCATAAACTATATTTCAAACATGGTTTATGATCGATCAAGATAGAAGTTGATGAAGACAATCCTTTTCGAAGGACAAACAAATCGTCTTAGTATGATTTATTTGAATAAATTAAGATAGTATCAAAGTTATCCTATATATAATTGTCAAAAGAGTAATTCATCATTTATACACATATTAAGTTTAATAGTGTAGGGTGAAAAAGTGTGTATTGAAAAAAAAAAGTAAAAATTTTACCCCGCTTAGATCATTAAAAAAAAGGGTCATTAACTATTCATTCATTTATGAAATCCAATAATGTTGGACATGAGTAGTATATTGAAAAATTTTCAAGACTCAATATCAACTAGAGATACAATAAATAAAAAATAATGGAGGACAAGTCTTATCTTATAAGTCAATTTTATAAAATTGAATTAGTATTCAAAACACTTTTTAATAGAATACATCTTATGCTTGAGACAATATTCTTATATTATCATAATTTAATTTTAGTGGATAATTTATCCAAGATAATGCAACCACTAGAGAAACATAACTCTTTCATAATTAGTTTTTTTTTTTTTTTTATGCATATCTTTCTTGTTAATGTAGATATTTTTCTTTTGTTTTTTTTTTTTATGTAATCATATTAATCCAAATATGTCAAAATAATGTAAAACAGGAAGGGTATATCTGGTGTAGTTTTAATATCAAGAGATGTCAATAATAATGCCACAAGAAAACATGTAAATCATAGCTGGCAAGGCTGTGATTAAAAATTGGAAGACAAACAATTCAAATGGATCTGATTAGGCAATCTCAGGTTTGAAGATCACAACTGCATGATCAAAGTAAGTTAATTAAAAAGCCTAGGTAGTAATTGTGAACAGTTATTTTACATTTATCTATGTACTTTCTATTCGTTTGAGTCGTTGTCTAGCTACCAAGAATGGCTACTTATTATGATTCTCATATATATGTCGATGTCGTATGTCAAAAAGTGGGAAAATAGTGTTATTGGAATATCCAAATTAAATAAGAAGTGTGAATCATGCCCCTACACGGAATCACTTAGGGATTCCTCATCATTGCTTCAAGGGCTATATATGAAAGAACCACGTCGTAGAAAATAAAGAAATAATGATAGTGGTTAGGAAGAATAGCTAGATGTATACCAAAACCTGATTATATATCATTGTGCGCAACAGCCTAACACTCTTGCATGTATGTTCAAATTTAACATGCTAGAGTACATATATCAAAGAGTCTGAACTTGGAAAAAGACGAAACGGTCAACGAATAGGAGGATTTAAAGAATTAGATAAATTTTTTTTTAGTTAATCATCTATACACTGCTAGTATAAAATTTTTTTTACACTGGTAACCAATTATATCTCTTAATTGTATTATGTTACTGTAAACACATTTACTTTTAACGGTAACATGACACGATTAATAGATATAATTGGTTGGCAGTGTAAAATTTTTTTACACTAACAGTGTATAGGTGATTAACTCTTTTTTTTTTTTTTTGTAAACTATATGTATCTCTATGAAGAGACCATCTTGATAGAATTGTGTAGGACTATTATGAATTTTTTTTTCTTCTTCAAGCATTTAACATAATTATATATTTGGATAAGTGTAAGTGAATCCATGTACTTTAAGTTGTTGGTCAATAGTAAGTAATTTGTATTTAAGAAAATGCATCGAGTCCCATTGATTCCTTGATATCGAAGTCTACATACGCTGAGTTATTTTTTTAATATCTATAATGTACAAATTTTTGACTTTCTTCAATTTCGGTGACCGATGATTTTTCTTGGCTTTCTCTCATGGTGTCTTCTACAAATGCCACAGACACGTATTACTTATATGCTTAGTTTATTTGCACAAAACATGAGATTGATTACTTAGGTGTTGACTTTTTCAAACTGCATAGATATTCAAAAGTTTGCAAGATATATCTTAATTAACCGTGTATTGATATTGTTTACACCAGGAAGCGCATATAAGTATAGTTTAATTCTTTTGTTACCAAGACTTTTCTCATTTTGATTTTTATATTCATTTTTTTTCTATTTTTGTTATCATATCATTCATGATATCTATTATTATTCTCCTTCATTATTCTTTTTATCATATCCCTCTTATATTTACAATCACAACTACAAAAAATAATTTAATTTGTATCACAAATACGAAAATGATTTAACTTGCTTTTTATAATTATATATGTCACAATCACATCTTTTCGCCTTAACCTAATAAGATGAGGTTTGACAAGTTATTATCAAAACGAAAGGGACCGACCGATCTATCTGTTTGTTAACAAACGAAAACTACTTTTCCTTGGTAACTAAATTTTCAACCACTTTTTGACTTCAAGTTCTTAATATATATGCAATGTATGTGATCATTGACTTAGCATAACATATACATATTGCTGAAGCTAGGATTCCATTCATATCGTTTTGACCGCTTAAATTGACCCATTAATCTTTTAGGCCCATAGATTGCCTAGGAGTGATATATGCTTTCATTCCATTCCTTTGGAGAAGAATGATTTGAACTACACGAAATGACTAATCCTAGGTTTTTATTTCCATATATTCATCGTTTAGTATGGAAACGGGACTTACCAAAAATGACGCACTCAACCAAAATTAGAAGTATGCAAATGGCAACACCGTTTTCCCTCTTCTTGGTGATGATTGAGAGTTGAGACTAAGGACGGCAATGACATGATCGTGAACAAAGATATTGGCATTGGACGAAAATATAAAAGAGTATCTATCTCAAATATGTAGGGTTGAAGAAGTATGTGGATTGAAAAATACACAATTTTGTAAAACTTTAGGGAATGTTTCTTGTGCGCTTGCTTTCCTTATAGGTAAGAGCACTTGTTTTTCTTAGCAAAGATTATTCAAATGTATTCCTTACACGGAAACATGTTTGCATTATTAACCTTCACATATTGGAAGTAGCTTTCGTTAGCAACTTGATGTGGACATTGCGAACCTCAATGGTGGAAAAGCACGCATACACTCTACTTGGAACTCAAAAATAGACCAAATGGGGCCATCTAAATGGGTCCTTCGTTACCCATTTTGCACTCACTTACAACTTTGGTTTAGAAAACTATTGTATTAGTTGCCCATACCGGCTTTTCTTTTTTCAGCCAATTTGTTGCACACTACTCTTTGATATTTTTGGACCTTACTCTTTTATTACACTACATATTCAAATTATGCAAATCCATCATATATATGTGTGAGAAATAATAATTCATCACCCTTCTACGGCACCAAACTGATCGAGCTCCGTGACTATACAATATTAAATGACAAAAGCACAAAATATATATATATATAAAATCAAGTCATTGAATCGTACATTCCAAAAAATAGTCATGGAATATGAGAACTGTACATCAGACACTGATTTTGAGATAATTACATGTAACAAATTTCCCGCGAACTTTCTCTTTTTCTCGTGTCTCTTTCCATGTTAAGATTTGTGCTGCTATTTACAAACTCTTTGGAAATGGAAAATCTTATCGTTGATTTAAACCAACAAAAAAAACTTTTTTTTTTGGTTGTTGAATCAAAATTGATCAAAATCAGTGCTGAAGGAACCTCCTGGCAGTGGATCTAAAGGGACATGTGGAACTGACAAAGCCGTCAACAAGATGCAGGTAGGTGTTCAAATCGTGACACGTGGCAATGTTGACACCCCTGAGGTACGGAGAATCCCTGCTACAAAGACGCAGCTCCTCCCCAACCTCAGAGTACAACAACCACTGTACCTCTTCCACTCTCTTTTGAACCCATCTCTGGAAACTCGCCACGTGGACACTCCCACTGTCCGCCACGTCACCACCACTTTTCTCCACGTCATCAAACACAAAACCCGGCACCTTCGTTATAACATCATCGGAGTTCACTATCCGCAACACCTTTGTCCCTTGCCTCTCCAGCCGCTGCCGGAATCTCCGGTTGCCTACGCGGGGGCCGCCGAAGGAGATCACCGTCACCGGCGGCGCCCGGAGAAAATAATTCCTCACATCATATGCCGTGAGAGTCGCCAATGCCGCTCCCAAACTATGCCCCGTAATGGTCAAACTCAAATTTTCTCCTTCGTAACTTTTCAGAATCCGACCAATCTCTTCCCTCACCATTTCTTGCAAACTCATAAACGATGGGTTGTCACTGATTGCTGACGTGTACAAACTCAAAAACCCACTTTCCACCATTGCTCCATTTTCTTCCGCGGCTGTGACAGATGAAACATGTGTCAGAGTGGCTCGAAGATTCTCGAACCACTCTAGACACGTAGTGGTACCTCTAAACGCCACTACAATGTCTCTTCGACCCAGTCGTTTTATCTCTTCCTTGTTGTTACACACAGCTACGTATCCCACGTAGCTTGATTTTCTTGCTACCCAACTTGGTGCTTTGTCTACCCAACTAGGTAGTTTGATTCCCGAGGTCGCACGTAAATGTTTGGTTACCTTGTAACCGGTGTTGTGTAACCCGCAACGTTCGAAGAGCGTGCTCTTCGGGAACTTGCATGTTGCGTAGTTTGGGGAAGAATGATCGAATTCGAAGGATTTATATGCAGCCTCGACGAAGTGGCCATAGCGGAGAATTTCGGCGCGAAGGTTCTCGTCCAATGGGTCTAATAAACCATTCCAATTGCTCATTCCTTGGTACTCCTTCCATTTCTTTCCCAATTTCAGCGACAACGAGGATGGTAACAGTGATGATGGTGATCGAGAGTGTGGCATGCCCTCCATCTTTTTAAGAGTGTTGGATTTGGTTGGTTGAATGAAGGATATGCACTGTGGTCTAGTGAGGGTTGGAGTGTGGTGAAGAGTTCTCATTGTGGGGTTAAAGAGATCACATTTAGTAACTATTATGTTTCGAAGAGGATTGGCTCCAATGAATGATGACATGTTTGGAACAGGAACTAGATGAAAGAAAAAGTGGGAGTGAGAGAGTGAGTGAGAGGTGGAAGAGAATGAGGTTGTGTGTGTTGTTGGTGTGGTTTGGAAGGGGAATTGCGAGGCAAATTTATAGGTGAAAGAAGCGTTGAGAATGGAAATGGTGGATAACTGCATTTACCGTATAGAGTGGGTTGCCTTTATGATGAGTGCAAGTTTGCGTAGATATAGAAAGTGTGTGTGCTTGATGCTACGTGAATTTTTTTTTCTCTTTTACTATTTTTTTATTATATCGAGAAAACCTGATAGATCCTCGTTACGTAGAGCCATTTGTGTGCGGACACGTTTGCAAAAGCTCCAGCCATGTTCAGCTAAGGAAATTAATAGCAAATGTCTCAACTAGAGATAAAATATATATATATATATATAACTTTTAATTATTATTGAGTGTTGGCGGATACTATATGCTTGAATTAATTTCTATTTATTGACTGCAACTATTGACTATGATTAACTCACATTTAGGTTCAATTTTTGGACACACTAAATGCTAGGTTAATGTCATTTGAATACAGTAAATTTTCACGAAAAAAGAAACTTTGGCACTAGCTCATGGATCTGACTCTTCTCTCTCTCCCTATTTCTACTATCGTAGAAATGAGATCTTGTCTTTTACCTGTCTCTTAGCTTTAAAATATCAATAACAATCTCACTCCAGTTGCCTTTACAACAAGATCTAGAACTTCAGATTACAGAGAAAAGAATACAGCTAGCTACTTGTACACACATGCACACATAACTTTATGGGTTAAAATTTTAATTTCTGTATAGGACGTTTATTTTTGCTTTAAATGAACGTGGAAACATTCCAAAATGCGCAAATCATTCATTGCCCTCCACATTCATCAAACATCGTCATTTATTCCTTTTACGTGGTTAACGTATAACGAAAATGATGGAATTATAGTTACAGCTGAGTGTGCGAGCTCAAGTCTGAAGACCTACTCAAATAATCATCATCTATAATTTGAACGATTAAGAAATAATATAAAAAATATGTCTGTTTAAATGCGAATTAATAACTTAGTCTGCAAAATTTCCCGTTTTAAATGAGTTACAGTCTATGGATTATAGAATTGTTGGTAAACTTTCTTCTTCTTTCTTTCTTTTTCTTTTTTATTTTATTTTTACTAGAGGGAGGGAGCTTTTTACACTATTATTTCCGGACTTTAATATAAATAAGGTTAAATTATACTTTTGTCATATATTTTATTTTTTTAATTTATTTTGGTTCTTTACGTCACACATTTAAGTTAATTTAGTTTTTTTAAAATATTTTGACTGATTTAATATTTAAAATTTATTGCATTAAATTCACTTATATGTAAATTATTAAATGTGATTAAAGTTTTAATTAAAAGTGTTATATACATAGTAAAAATTAAAATTAAAAAAAAATAATTTCATATTATTTTCTGATTTAATCATCTATACATTGTCAGTATAAAAAATTTTACACTAGCAACCAATCATATCTTTTAAAGTTACTTATTTTATTATTATTTCATTAAATAAGCAACTGACATGACACTATTAAAATATATAATTGATTGTCGGTGTAAAAATTTTTTTACACTGGTAGTGTATAGGTGATTAACTCTTATTTTCTAATAGTTCATGAAATATATTTTTCACACGATTTTCTACGTTTATAATTTTTTAGATTCAAATGTCAATTGCATTTCATGATTTTCATATAAATGAATCTAATGTTACAAGTTTTACGCATTTAATCGGTCAAATTGATACAAAATTGTACAGCAAAATTAAAAATGCTCATTGTTTAAAAAGGATTAAATTTATCTAAATGTTAAAAATAAAATACCAAAATAAACATTTGAATAATTAAAGGACCAAAATGAATCTAAAAAATAAAATAAATAACCAAAAGTATAATTTAGCATATAAACAAACAACAAACTAATTCATACTAATTAACTAAGTTAATTAATATCTTTTAATTGGTGACATTTAAAAAAAATAAGTTATTTTAAAAAAAAAGCATAAATATGTTTTTAGTTTCTTAAATTTAAGATAAATTTATTTTTTATCTTTCAAATTTAAAATTATTATTTTTCGTGTTTATAATTTTCAAAAGTTTTATTTTAATTAATCTCTCACATGTCACTAATAACATATCAAAAACTGCATATTGAAAAAGCTATGCATCATTGACTAAATTCAATATGATATTTTCACTAATAAAGAAATCTATAGATAAATTTTATGCGATAATATTTGATTATTTTTATATAAAAAATATTATATGGACTAGAAAGGATTTTTGGAATTACATAGACTAAAAAAATGAATTTTAAATTTAAAAGAATAAAAATATATTTAAATCTTTGAAAAATAATTTTTATTAAATAATGTAAAAAAAATAAAGTTATTATTATAAATCATTATTGTGCAAGAGATTCTTGACATTGGATGAAATCGACATTCTATGTTAGTCTTGAATGTGTCATAGACTCAAACGATATAAAATATTCAAATATATTCAATGTAGATTAAACACTTAACATAGATGCGTCTCTTTTATATTGAGTGTTAATACTTATTTTAATATGAGTGACAAATTTAGTCTCACCCGATATAAATTGTGCGCACTTTTATGTCAATTATGATCCCACTCGACATTAAATATGTATTTTCTATGTCGTTGAGGTTAAATCAAACAATTCTTTTTTTTAAAGTTTTATTTTTCTCTGTTTTTCAAACCTACGAATAGAAAACAATATTTAGACAAGTTCTTTTTTAGGATTTAAGATATTGTTTAATTTGAACGTCTAAATTTTTATGTAAATAATATATTAAAATCAATAATTTAATAAAATAAATAAAGTAATTAATATATATATTAAAGATAACTCACATATCACAATATTTATGTTGGATTCCCTTCTTCTTTTTTTACTTTTTTTTGTATTATCCTTCTATTTACTAACTCCCTAACCCTTACAAACATTCCTATAATATAAATACCTCATATATTATAAATATAAATATTTTAGACACATATTATACTTTTTTTATAATCATAATTTTAAAAATATCTATCAGAAAATAGTGACTAATATACTAAACTTTCGTGATTATAATCTCGTGTATCTAACATCATTTTTATATCAAATGGCATTTAGAATAATAAACAGGCAGATAAATGGAACTTACCATGAACTGGGTAACTTATTGGAATTTAGATATGGGGGGCAGTGTACTTGCGTGGAGGACAACCATCACAAGTCTTGCCAAATTCCAAAGTTGTGTTCGTGTACCCCACGCAGTATTTGAAAACTGTATGATATTTGTCAGATATCCTACAATGTATTTTTAAATGGAGTTTAAAGATTTTTGTCAGTGCATAATTAATGGGGCCACGTACGCAACATATATATCTTGGTCAGAAATTTACCCGTTTTGGTAAACTAAGAGCAGAAAAAAATCAATAAAGTGGGATCAGACAAAATACATGAGAAATTAGGTTTGCTATATATTGTAATATTCTTTTTGCGAGTAAAAAATTTAAGAAGCTTATAGAATGTCAAATTAAATATGTATGTTATATAATAATCGTATTAGAAAAGACTTAAACATGTATTGTCTCAAGAATAAGTTCTCATTTTGATCTTTGTAAAAAGAAAAACTATTTTTGTTTTTTTTTAATTTAAAATTATTATTTTTAATCCTTATTATTATTTAATCATTTTAAATTACATGTTTATTGATTGAAAATATTTAGTGACTCTTTCAGGTATCAATTACAATTGTTAACAATATCATATTAATATGTGATATTTCTAGAAATAGATTATAGACTCTTAAAATAAATATTATTTATATACCTTAAAATCAATTAATTATGACTAAAAATAGTAATTTTAGATTTTAGAGAAATAAAAAAATATATTTTACAGGATCAAAACTAATTTACTCATTTTATTATAATAAAAATATTTTTTAAGAACTAAAAATAATATTATTATATTTTTTTAAGCAAAACTTAAACTATTGTTATATTGACATTGCAAGTTTTTATATCAATATTATGATATATTATATTAATTGATAATTCTATGAATTTATCTAAAAAATCGAAAAAGATAATTCTATTGCTTTAACAAGTAAATAGTAATAATTTGATTTCCACGAAAATTATACACAGAGGCAATTATAAATTTATAATGCTTACTATTTTTTCAGTAAATAATTTTTTACATCAATGGTCAGTTTAGATAAAAGTCCTTAACTTAAACCTATATATAATCTCCATCCAAAGTTGCATAAAACAAATATAAACACACAGTGGTTGTCTAGTAAAGTGGTGATAGTATTTTATCTTACTATAAAGACATAAGGTTCGAATCCCTTTAACAAAATATTTTTTAATAAAAAATTATTATTTAAATTTATTTATAGTATAATTAAAGAGGAGAATATTGAATTTTTATTACTAGATAGAGAAAAGATTAACACAAGAATAAGTTTAAAATTTAATGTCTATTATTTATCTTTAATATTTTAATAAATAATATTAAATACAAGTTTTACATTATTTGTAATATTTTTTTAATTTTTAAAAAATTCACAAACATCTAAAAATATTCATGAATATTTGAAGGTGTTTAAAAAATTTATGGTTATTGTGGATATAGAGTGAATATAATTTTATATATATGGAGCATATTTTTATTTGGTAGGATAGAGAAGGGTGTCCTACTATTTACCTCCATAGAACCCCATTGTCATCACTACCACAAGTATATCATTTTAATTATTTTTTGCTTAAGATGTCGTGAAACTACCGGACATGTATTTCACGGAATAATATTATTTAGGATTTAGAGTTTAGGACATCATTATTATCATCTATATCCATAAGTATATCATTTTGATTATCTTTTACTTGAGGTGTTTTTGAATTAGGGGATGTTTATTTAACAAAATAATATTATATTTTTGAGAATTATATTCCTACAAATGTTATTTCTAGGAATATAAAAATATATATATTTGGTTTATTTTAATGTTCTTAGAAATACTTTCTAAAATTTAAAATAATTTAAATAAAAAATAGAAGTTACAAGAGTATAGAAAATAACTTCTAATATTCTCATAAGAATATCACTTACCTCTTTACTATAAGAATTAAACTTTTATACTCAGAAGAATATCACTTTCCTAAAAGTAAAAGATATCCAAAAATATTGTTAGATAACCTCCCAACAAATGTGAGCATAAATATTCTCAATTTCATATTTTCGTAAATAAAAAGATAATAAAAAAAAGTCCCGTAGAGAATGAGTTAGAAATTTAATGTGGAAGCGAAAATATGATTATGCGTGCATTCTACTATATAAGGTTTCAATATTTTACATTCCATTAGTTATGCTTATAATTGATGTGAAAAAAATACTTTTTATACTGATTCTTAATACAACAAATTTTTTCTTGCAAAAATGTCTCATCTAGAAAATATTTTCTACATCAATTATCTTAGTACAAATAATATAGAAATTATTTACATTGTTTCTTAATTAATATATAGAGAATCTGTTGGTTTATTTTTTATTTTTATTTAATAAAATAAGCAATATGTTACTTTTTATGTATTTTTAAACTATTTTTTAAAGTAGTTTTCTATTTTGTTAAAGAAGTAAATTTCAAATTCTTTTTAAAAGATTACTTTTAAAATTTAAAAATCACTTGTTTAAAATTATTTACTTATTTTAAATAAGACCTATAGTTAATATATATATATATATATATATATATATATATATATATAGAGAGAGAGAGAGAGAGTTATAGAGA